TTCGTCAAAAGGCCCAGCAAGAGCAGCCCCTGGTTACCACCAGACTAAATGCTTTTCAATGAACTAAAGCGGACAGGTACAATGACAAGTGTGAAGCACTGATTTTCAAAAAAAATCTCTTCTGAAAAGCATAAAAACCCATAAATAAGACATCTATCTATCTATCTAAGCTTATAATACATATTATGTCTGAGTGTGCCAGTGTATCAGGGTTTCTATTCCCCTAAAGTGGACTTCAGGCTTGGTTAGTATTCTGTGTCACTTTTTCCAACCATGCCCCCCCCCCTTCTACCTCTCTCCTTATGCTAATGCCAGGCTATTGTTTCTTTCAATCCACCGTCCTGCACCTCCTATTCATGTCCACCCCTCGACCCTATCTATCGATCTATCTATCTATCTATCTATCTATCTATCTATCTATCTATCTATCTATCTATCTATCAATATAAATATATATTTATCTCTCTCTCTCACTCTCTCTTCCCATCTGCCTTGGTCTACCTCAGCTCCGAATGTACACCAAACCGGAAGGTTTCCTTTTTTTCAATCAATCAAACAAACAAACAAACCTAAATACAAACACACTAACAAACAAACAAACAAAAAAAAAAAAAACAAATACATTTCACAGCATGGTGCCTTCACTTCCGCGTTTGAAAGGTGCAATCAATTGGGTGGGCTTTTTCTTGCCTGACGAAATCAGGAAGTTTTCTTTCCAAGTGCATTCAGTCCTTTAGGAATAAAGCAGTGCGACATGACTCCTTGTCGCTGAGTTTTTGTTCCGGACTTGTTTCGTTTCTTGTTTTTGTTTTTGTTTTCGTTTTTTTGTTTTTGTTTTTATTTTTTTTTCATTTTGTTTTGTTTGTTTGTTGTTAGTTTGTGCCCTCTGATTGCTTTTTGTGATTTATATCTCCGCCCCTTTTGTTCTCCTCTTTGTCATCCTCGAAGTTTTTTTTTAAAATCGCTGTTGCTGCTACTGTATTTGTTGTTTGTTGTTGTTGTTGTTGTTGTTGTTGTTGTAATTTTTGTGGTTGTCGTTGTAATGTTTGTGTTTGTGTACTAATTGATGTGATGGTGATGGCGATGATGA